CTCCTTATCAAGATTGGGAGCCTACAGTTGAGAAAGAAAATCCTGATGATTACTTTAGGCACTATTGCACTGTGGAAAGTATTTAAGGCACTATTGCACTGTGCACAGTATTTAAGGCACTATTGCACTGTGGAAAGTATTTAGCCTGGAGAAGAGAAGACTGAGAGGTGATATGATAGCTGTGTTTAAATATTTGAAGGGATGTCATATTGAGGAGGGTGCTAGCTTGTTTTCTGCTACTCCAGAGACTAGGACCAGAAACAATGGATGCAAGCTGCAAGAAAAGAGATTCCACCTCAACATTAGGAGGAACTTCCTGACAGTGAGGGCTGTTCGACAGTGGAACACGCTCCCTCGGAGAGTAGTGGAGTCTTCTTCCTTGGAGGTCTTTAAGCAGCGGCTGGATGGCCATCTGTCGGGGATGCTTTGATTGGGAGTTCCTGCATGGCAGGGGGTTGGACTGGATGGCCCTTGTGGTCTCTTCCAACTCTATGATTCTATGATTCTATGAACTTCACTGAACCTACATATGTGTAAAGGCAGGCCCAGCTCCTTTAGGCCTAGCCACAGTAAGAAGAAGAGCCCTCCCTCCAGTCCATCTGTCATGATCCAGGCCTCAGAGGGAGAGAAGAACAGTTGGACTTATTCTCTTTCCCACTGCCATTCCCTTCTCCTTTTATGTCATGTCTTTTATGTTCCCTGAGGACAGGGAACTGTCTAATTAACCATTTGTAAGCTGCTCTGAGAGCCTTTGTGGCTGAAGAATGGGGTATAAATATAGTAAATAAATAAAAAATAAATAAAATATCCAAATAGCATTTTCACTTTTATAAATGCAAACCTGTGTTAAATGAACCAATGATGAAGGGGGGGGGGGATACACAGCTATATTTTCAACAGGCCTTACAATATTTGTTGTGCATCACACTAAATGTCTGTACAGAGTCAAAGAAAGAACACAGTTGTTTGGCAATCTAGTTCCACACAAAAGCATCTTTTCCTTATATAAAAACACTCTGCTAATTCAAATTCTTGTACATTAGAAAAGCAGGAAGATTGCATCCTACTAGAGACAATATTAAAGCAAAGGTATTCCCTGTTGACAAGTTTGTCATGCCGTCTCTGACCATAGGGGGCAGTGCTCTTCTCTGTTTCTAAGCCGAAGAGCCAGCATTGTCAGAGACTACTCTGTGATCATGATGGCACAGAATGCTCTTTACCTTTCCACTAAAGTGACACCTATTTACCTACTTGCACTTGCATGCTTTCGAACTGCTAGGCTGGCAGAAGCTGGGACTAGTGACAGGAGCTCACTCCATCATGCAGCATCAGGGCCTCAAACTGCCAACCTGCCAATCTTGCAATCAACAGAATTAATGTCTTAACCACTTGAGCCACTGCATCCCTAGAGACAATCTTTAAAAAGCAACTTGAAAGCAGTAGTGTTAAACCTTGAGCAAGCACTCAATTTTATAAGTCCAACATTCTCCCAAACTGGGCTCAGCAGCCAATTTTGTACTAAAAATTATGCTAGAAAGAATGATGAAGAGGCTCTAAGTTCATTTGGGTATTTAGGTATGCATAATCTCAAAAATTGTACATACGGTACTTTATTTTCACAAGCTTGGTTAAAAGTACAGCTAATAGACACAGAACCTTTGTTATTTTCTCTCTCTGAAACAGTTAACTGTGAACAAAAATAAAGCTTGAATTATCCTTCTTTTTAAAAAGTCTATACTTGAATTTAATGAATTAAAAATGAAAACTTATTCTACACTCAAACCTGCCCCCCCCCGGTTTAATTTCATAAACTAACTCAAACTTGGCTAGTCACATATTTCTCTTGCACTACGATACATGTAGCCAGCCCTCTTAGTTTTGGAACTCACAGGTGGGCTGTACTTTCAGAGATGGCCTGGATTACACTAGATTAGAGAAATAGTTTAGCCTGAGTCTTATCTAAATTATTATTTATAACATGAAAATAGGGGGTAATGTGGTTAGGACCATGGTCAATATGGGACATCTCACAATGAAGATGGTTTCTTATCATTTTTCCTTTTCATCTCAAAGGTAAAATTACAGAACAAAGAGTCCTGTTAAAACTAAGAGATTAAATATAGCTTGATCTTTTGTGGATCACACAGATCATTCCACAAAGGTACAGAGATCTCCCTTTCTCTCTCTGTATGTGCATACAGTTGGAGTGACATGTTGACAGTGAGGTTAGCAAATTTAGATGTAGGAAGTACTGACAGTGACTATTCTGGCTCAGGCAGTTATAAATTAACTAGTAGGTAAAGCCCTAATTAAGCTCTGTAGTTTCAATGCTGTTTAATGTAAGCTTGTCCTATCACATATTTTATACATATTATGCATACTGCTGGGTATATAAACAGCTGCGCTGGCTCTGGTGCTTGAAAATCTACTTAGAAAACCCATATGGTCCTACCTTTATTTCTTTGTTCAAATTCCAGTAAGTTTTTTTTTATCACCAACCACAATCCATGACTTTAGACTGAGTATATGCAAGTACATTTGCTTACATTTATCACTTGATATCCACTTGTCTCTAACAATTCTGTTTCTGTGACCATCAAACTTTTAGTCTGAAAGTTTCCTTCTGCTTCTGCTGTAAAGCACCATATGTATCAATGGTGCTGCAAGCGTAAAAATAGTAATGCAAGGTAAGAAAACAGAAGTACTTGTCTCACTGAACAGAAAGCTTTTTTTTTTTTTTTTACTACTCTACAATAATTAAGAGCTATGGTGTTTACCCAGATGTAAGCTAGTGACTGGAACAGATGAAGAATTCACTGGCTTCCATCCCATAACTAATCAGATTTTAGCAGTTATCTCTCCAGCTAGACTGTAAATTACATTTTTTTGATGACAAATGCTTAAAGTTATTCAGAGTCTGTGCTCATTTCTCAGTGAACATCTTTGACTATTGCAAGTCTGAACAAAGGAAGCACAAAAGTTTCCAGTTCAAGACATTCATATTTTATTCAGAGAGTTCAACCATGTTTTTGTTTGGATCCAGTATGGGTTCAACTGCCACTGTTCTGGTTCAGTTACAATTTAAATCCGTGTTTTAAAACCAAAGTGTGTAACTTACTACACACTAGTTTCTCAGGTTATCTGATGTGGGGAGCCTGCTTCTCCCCACCACCACCACCATGTACCAGGGATCAGTGTATATTGGTGTCCCCTGGCTACAACTTTCTTTCTTCCTTTCAATGGCTCTGGTCCAGTACAGGGACCACCACTTTGAGTAGCATCAATTTAAGCCACTGAATCAAATCAAATCAAATCAAATCAAAACAAAACAACCCCCCACCACACCAGCTGCGTTCCACTGCAAAGGGAAAAAAACATAATTCACATTACAATACTGGCTTACAAGTCAAGTAGAACAGGTTCACACAACAACTAAAGTATTAATCATAAGAGCTAAGTAGTATGACGCACATATGAAATAAAAACTGGATACACTCAGTATTAAGTTATTAACATGCACTTAACTTCTACTACTCAATTATAGTGACTATTTCTTGGACAGCTAAGGTTTTTTCCCTACCTCCTCTTCCTCCTCCCACCTTTAAGAGCATAGTTTTGAAGACAAACCAAAGTGTGTAACTTACTACACACTTGCTTAGTGTCTCTTCTCATTGGTGCCCTTAGCTCAGACTTCACTCTGAATTGATAGAGAGACCTTTTAGGTGCAGAGATTTTAAAACAGCGGATAAAGTTCTGTTCAGGAAAATATCGAAGGTCTGACTTCTTGGCAAACCAAAAAACTTGAAGAGTGCTAACAATAATAACCTACCACAATGTATCACATGCAACTTTACCTAATCATTAAGTGCCACAATATAAGTTACACTGCTATTGAGCAACACATGGGAATTTCTTTTAGTTAGGTAGAGGATACATTTGCAGTTGAGGACAATGGTTAGTTGTCATTACTTCTGCCAGGAATTCCAAAATCTGTTGTTAGGTGAAGAAGCTAAGAATCTATCACCAACAATTCTGATTATCCCCAGGAAACTGGTTCCCAAGATTTTTAGGAGTGGACACTGAAAAAAGTGTGATACTTACACTGATTTGGACAACAGATATGCCTGAACTTTTAAACAAGTGTCATGCCAGGCCTCCTTAATTTGGGACACACAGATCACAGGTACCTCCAATGGAAAAGCAATTAAGAAATAAATGCAGCTGAACTATGGAAATCTGGATCAAAAGAAACTTTCAAAAGAGTCAGCATGTTGTGGGGCAAGAATTGGAGGTATGGCAACCATGCCCTGCCCTCATATGCCCTACACTCCATCTCTACATTATGCAGGCTAATGATAGCAAACACACACGTATGTGGTAGACAGCATCAAGACTACATGTATTCAAGAATATAGAGAAAGACAACAAGCAAACAATTAAGATTTACAGAATGTTTAATTTTAATTTTTGTAAAGAATAAAAGTATAGGCCTTTTGACTGTGAAGATATATTCAAGGGGTGGGAGTAATGTTGCTGAAAACAGCTACCATAATTGCTAAATATAATATCCTAAGTTCAGAAGACAAGGCTTCAGTGTCCAGTTCTTTTGTTGTTGATTTCTAGAATCTTTAAACTTGGGCTTTAAAATATAAATATAAATATAAAGAAAAGGGGAAGAGAAAAAAGGAAAAGAGTGAGAACATAGGACCTATGATACCAGATCTATGATCATATGGGCCAGGCAAAAATAGGTAAATTATTAAACATTAACCAAAAATGCAGTTTATGTGGACCACACAACTTTACTTGTTTGGGTGAAAAAGCTAGACTGCTTGTTGTTGTTGTTGTTGTTGTGTGCCTTCAAGTCATTTTTGACTTATGGCAATCCTAAAAACCTAGCATGGGTTTTTCTTGGCCAGAGTTGTTCAGAGTAGGTTGACCATTGCCTTTCCCTGAAGCTAAGAGCATGTAATTTGCCCAAGGTCACCCAGTGCATTTCATGGCTAAGCTGGGAATCGAACCCTGATCTCCAGAGTTGTAGTCCAACACTCAAACCACTACACCATGCTGGCTCGCCTACAAAGTTTTAATTTTGCCATCTTTTAAAACTGCAATAGGCTTGTAATCTCAATATAATCTTGCCATCTCAACATAAAGATCTGACACAAATAGGTGACCGAAACAGCATGTATACTAAATTATAATTATTAATGAGTCACACAAAGGCACAAAAGCAGCTTTGAAGACAGTAACAAAAAACAAAACCTCACCTACCTATAAGTAGTTCAGCACACTAACAATTCTCCCCCAAACAGCTTAATTATTATTGTTTTGTCATTGAAACAGAAATTAGAACCAATCCACACTTAAAAGCCACTCTAAAGTTCTCCAACCCACTGAGGAAACTAGATTTCAACTGGGTTACAAAATGTTTGAATATGCACCATCTCCAGACTAGAATGCAAAGCAGGAACAAGAATGAACAAGACTAGCTTTCCAAACAGAATTACTTGCACAATCGTTATCAGACCTCCTCTTTCAAAACAATGCAACATATTTCTAGTGGCAATGGCTAACTGGACAGTAAACTTGCATATCATTTTAACCTATCATGTGATTATAGAATTATCTACATCAAAACCATCCTTTCTACTCACAAATGACCATTCATAATATAGGGAAGATTTTGTGTCCCTCTGAATGCTAAACAACTTGCCATCTTAAATTCCTCCTTTTTCAGAGGGGGAAAACACATTAGAAAAACAAATACACTGTACAGCTGTGCAAAATACCCAACAGTGATGGGAGCTTGGGTGAGCTGTAAGGACATGAAGTGCTTCCATAAGCATGTCATACTACAGAAGTGGGATCTGCTGTCAGTAGGACTGCAGTGAGCCTCTGGCATCTCCTGAGGTATGATTCCAGGAACCTTCCACCCCAGTATATACCAAAACCCACAGATCTGCAAATCCCATTAAATAGTAGAAGTCCTTTTATATAGGTGTAGTAAAATGCTGTCCCTTATAAATCAATTTTATTTTATTATTTTTTGGTTAGTATTTTTGAACCATGGTTCATTGAATCTGTGAATGCAGAATCTCTAGATACAGAGGGCAAACTGTAGTTTACATCTCAGGTCTTAGGCAAATCACTTAACTTTCCTTGACCTAAATGTTTATGTCTACTGCAGGTCATTTCAACTACTACAACTACTACTAAAATTTATTTATATCCCGCCTCTCTGTAGAAACAACCGTGGCAGCTTACAAGATAAAACAAACAATCCCTTCCCCCAATAGCCCATCCACTTTAAAATACATTAAACCGACAAAATGTAAAAACATACTTAAAAATCACAAATAATAAATAATTTAAAATGGCTATAGCGAAAATCAGGGACAGGCTAATAACCAATACCTTGTACTGCGCCTGGAAACTAATAGGCAGCCAGTGAAGTGATCTTAGGATAGGTGTTATATGGTCTCTCCTGGTTTTACCTGAGACCAGCCTGGCTGCCATATTCTGTACCAGTTGAAGTTTCCAAATTAGGCACAAGGTAGCCCCATGTAGAGTGCATTGCAGAAATCGAGACGAGAAGTTACCAGCACATGTACCACGGTTTCAAGGTCCCTAACTTCCAGGAAAGGGCGCAGTTGGCATATCAGCCTAAGATGATAGCAGGCGCTCCTGACCACCACATTTACCTGATTTGTCATCTGTCATATTGAGGAGGGAGCTAGCTTGTTTTCTGCTGCTCCAGAGAACAGGACCAGGAACAACGGATGCAAGCTACAGGAAAAAGAGATTCCATCTCAACATTAGGAGGGACTTCCTGACAGTAAGAGCTGTCCCGACAGTGGAACACACTACCTCGGAGTGTGATAGAGTCTCCTTCCTTGGAGGTCTTTAAACAGAGGCTGGATGGCCATCTGTCGGGGATGCTTTGATTGTGAGTTCCTGCATGGCAGGGGGTTGGACTGGATGGCCCTTGTGGTCTCTTCCAACTCTATGATTCTATGATACTAAAAACCTTAAGATCAGTCCTTTCTGACTTCAGTTTGCAAATGTAAATCAAATAATCACATAGCTGGAAAACACCACAAGGGTCATCCAGTACAACCCCTTTCCATGCAGGAATACACAATCAAAGCACTCCCAACAGATGGCCATTCAGTGTCTATTTAAAAACCTCTAAAGGAAAATCTATCACTCTCCAAGGCAGACTTGTTCCACTGTCGAACAGCTCTTACTCTCAGAAGTTCTTCCTAATGTTTAGGTGGGATCTCATTTCCCTGAGTTTGAATCCATTGCTCCATGTCCTAATCTCCAGAGCAGCAGAAAACAAGCTTGCTCCTTTTTTCCATATGACTTCCTTTCAAATATTTAAACATGGCATCACTCTTTAATCTTCTCGTCTTGAGGCTAAACATACCCAGCTCCCTAAACCATTCCTCATGCGCAGGGGTAGGCAACTGGCTGGGTAGATGAAAGGAATGCTGTGGATGTAGTGTATCTTTCAGTAAGACCAGGGGTAGGCAACCTTTCCCCTTTAAGGGCCGAGGGACTTCAGTTCCCAGAATCCCAGGAGCTATTGGCCAACATGGGACTATTGGCCAACATGGCTGAGGCTTCTGGGAGCTGAAGTCCCTTGGCCCTTAAAGGGGAAAGGTTGCCTACCCCTGGTCTTACTGAAAGATACACTACATCCACAGCATTCCTTTCATCTACCCAACCAGTAATTTTATTGAAAGGGGGGAGGGAGAGAGAGAGAGAGAGAGAGAGAGAGAGAGAAAGAGAGAGAAGTCTGCATGACTTGTTTGTGAGAAACCACGTTGACTTTTACTGATTATGGCATTCCTTTCTCAATGTTCACAGACTATCTGTTTAATGATCTGCTGTAGAATCTATCCAGGTATTGATATCAGGCTGACTAGGCAGTAATTATTTGGGTCCTTGTGTTATTGTTTTTTTCTTTCAAAGGTGGGGACAACATTTGCCCTCCTTCAGTCTGTTGGGACCTCTCCTGTTCCCTAAAGATTAGCAAAAGATCATTGCCAGTGGTTCTGAGATTACTTCTGCTAGTTTTTTAAATACCCTTGGATGTAATTCATCTGGCCCTGGAAACTTGAATTCATTTAGAGTAGCTAAGTATTCCTTTATTACCTCTTTACCTATTTTGTGCTGCATTTCCCCAACTGCAACATCTGCTCCATTTCCCCCAAGTTGAGAGCACTATTCTCCTTTTCAGAGAAGGCCAAGGCAAAGAAGGTGTTAAGTAGTTCTGCCTTTTCTTTGTTCCCTGTTAGCATTTCACCATCTTCTCCATGCAGTTGCCCTACTATTTCCTTGTTCTTCCTTTTGTTATGGACATAACCACAAAAGCCCTTTTTATTGTTTTTAACTTCTTTAGCAAGCCTCAGCTCATTCTGTGCTTTAGCTTTCCTGACTTTCTCCCTACACGAGCTGACGATTTGTTCGAACATCTTCTTTGGCGATTTCCCTGTTTTTCTATTTCTTGTACATGTCCCTTTTGAATCTTCTTAGCTCAGTTGAAACATCCATCCAGGTTTTTTTTAGACACCTCTCCTATTTTTCTCCTCATTGGAACTGTTTGAAATTGTGCCTTCAATATTTCTCTTTTAAGAAACTCTCATCCCCCATGAACCCCCTTCTCTATTAGTATTCCTGACCATGGCACTGCTGCCAGTATTTCCTTAAGTTTACTGAAATCAGGTTTCTTAAAGTCCAGAATACTTGTCTGACTATGTTAGTTTCCCCTTTCCACTGTATAACAAACTCCAAGAGAACATGGTCACTCCCACCTAAGGATCCTACCATTTGCACACCATTAACTAGATTATCACTGCTGGTTACAATCAGATCTAAACTAGATGCCTTCTACCTAGTTCTACCTTCTGGAGAATGAAGTTGCAAGGCAAGTGAGGAATTTGTTGGACCTTAAATTTTTGGCTGAGTTTGACTCCCAATAAATGAGGGTAGTTGATATCCTATTACTACTATATCTCTCCTTTCTGAATGTGTGATCATCTGTTCCAGGTATTATCCAAGTCCTCAGTTTGGCCTGGAAGTCTGTAGTAGACCCCATCACCACCACATTCCTGTTGTTAACATGGTTTCCAGGATTTAAGTCATGGATCTCTTCACAGGTATAAGCATTCTTAATGTATAATGCTACTCCACTTCTTTTCCAGTTTGGTCAATTTCTCTTGAAATTACTACTACTACTACTACTACTACATTCCAAACATGAGACTCATCCCACCAGGTTTCAGTGATACCTATTACAGTCAGCCCTTCATATCCACAGATTCAACCATCCACAGCTTAAAAATATTCAAACTATATATAAAGTCCCAAAAGCAAACCTTGATTTTGACATTTTATATAAGAGACACCATTTTACTATGCCTCTATTTAATGGGACTTGAGTATCCACAGATTTTGTTATCCACCAGGATGGATGGGGGTGTTCTGGAACCAAGCCTCACCAGATACCAAGGGCCCACTGTATATCATACATTTGCTCTGCTGTGCTAAGAGTTCAAGTTCATCCTGTTTAATTCCATTTTCCAACATTCCCCTCCAAATGTATAGATGTGTGTCATGTTGCTTGTTTGTATTATGTATCTTTGTCATTCCCTTGATTTCGCACTTTAGCTTAACAGCTAAGATTGTGCATCTAAGGTGCCATTCCCAGCAGACGTGATAGCTGTTCATGTTTCTCAATTGGCAACGCTTTTGTAAAAACATCAGCTATATTGTCCCTGGTGTCAATGTACTCCAGACGCACATTTCTTTAACATTCTGATATCTCACACCTATGTATTTCGTTCTACACTTCAAATTCTCAGCCTCTGACATTGCAATGCACAATTGTGAATCCTCATGAACAGGGGTAGGCAACCTAAGGCCCTGATGCAGCCCCCCAAGGCCTTTGGACCGGCCCCAGGCCGGTCCTGCTGCCGCCCCCGCTGCCGTCCACCATGATGATATTGATTATTGTTGTTATTACTTGTTCTTGGGGTTTTCTTGGCAAAATCTCCACAGGGGT